TACCTTCTAATTTCTCTTTGATAAAATTTAACAGATCTATTTTGGAACCCTGAAAACATTCAGGGAGACCAAGATATGTACCTTCCCCTCCTTCCTTATCGATACCTAAAATTCTCTTGATATCCTGTTTTGTATCGTCAGTGACGCTTTTCCCAAAAATGATAGAAGACTTTAAAGGATTAATCATTTGTCCAGAAGCGGTACCATAAAGTTCCAAACAATTCAGAATTTCTACACTATCCTTGATAGAGGCATCACATAACAGTAAGCTATCATCCGCAAATAACAGATGATGCACAGAAGGACTATCTTTGGCTAACTTTACACCCCGTAACTTTCCTTGTCCTTCAGCTCTATTTAGAACGTGTACTAATGCTTCAGCACATAAAATAAATAAAAAAGGTGATAAAGGATCCCCCTGACGTATTCCTCTTTCAGGTTTAATGAATCCATGAGATCTGCCATTTAGTAATACTGAGAAAGTAACAGTGGAAATACATGACATAATCCAAACAACCCATTTCCGATCAAATCCCATTTTTTCAAGTAAAATTTCAAGAAAATTCCATTCAACCCGATCATAGGCTTTGGACATATCTGTCTTAATAGCCATACTTTCCCTACCAATTTTATCATTGGTGCGCAAACCATGTACCAATTCATGTGCTATAATGACGTTGTCCGTAATTAGCCTACCGCCAACAAAAGCCCCTTGGGTTTCCGAAATTATGTTAGGTAAAATTACTTTCAATCGGTCGCAAAGAATACGAGAAATGATTTTGTATTGGACCGAGCAAAGACTAATGGGACGCATATCCTTCATCTCCGTAGGGTGTAGAATTTTCGGTAACAAAAATAATTGTGTATGGTTCCAACCCTCAGGAAGAATAGCTGTTTTGAAAAAACTTTGAACATCATCAATAATCTTCTGACCAACAATATGCCAATATTTCTGGTAAAAATAACCAGTAAGACCATCCTCTCCAGGGGCGCTGCTACTTTTAATCCCAAATGCTGCTTTTTTAATTTCATCAGGTGATACCTCTCTGATTAACAAAGTGTTCATTTCTGAGGTGACCCTAGTATCAAAACCTTCAAACAAAGTTTCCAAGTCTCGTGGGTTGGAGCTAGTAAACAAATCTCTAAAATATTCAGTAGCAATATGACCTTTTGATCCTTCAGAATAGTGCTCATTTCCAAAGATATCCTTAAGCATTAAAATTTTATTCCTCATTTTTTTCCCTTTAACCATATTATGAAAATACGTAGTATTTCTATCCCCTTCC